GAGGAGACAGCTATGGCAGAACTTAGTCTGGGGATCCTTATAGATATTGTTGATGATGAGTGGATGAGGGACACTCTACCTGATGATGGTATTATTTATTTTAAAAGCTGAATGTACATTGCATATATGGGTGTTGACCTCTTAAGTGCGAAGTGATTATTATGTAGGCTTGTCCTTCCATGTTATTTATAAGTTCTGCCCATGTGTTCTGGTATTCTAGATAGATTCATTTTCTATGCTACCCATATTCATCTATACTATCACGGTATCACTACTAAACTATGTGGGTTAAGGTTCCATCGCAGTGGTGTCTTAGGAAGGGACAATTGGAAACAGTTCTATGTTTTGGCATTTTTGGTTGTTTTGCAGTCCTTCTGATTTGTAGCATTTTTCATGTAGCAATCCCATATTGGTTGTCCTGCTTGGTGGATTGAAAGGACACGGATGTTTTAATATTTTGCTCAATTAATACAGATCTTCCTTTGCCACCTGTGCTGGTTGCTCGGACTGATGATACTGAAGACCCAAGTATGGCAAACATTTTCTGATTATATTTCTTGAAGAGCAATATTTTACTGATAAAGTATCCATATTTTTCATTGTGTTGATTATCTCTCCTTCAGTCTGTGTTAGAAGAAGTAAAAGGTTATTATTGAGATTGTCATTCAATATTTTGTGATTAAGAATATGAATTGTGTATATACCTCCCTATTATGAAACCCTTGTCTTTTCTCCCAACTTTTTCCATTTATTTATGTTGTCATTCTTTTTCTTTTTCATATTTAATTTGTAATTTTGTTAATTTTCAGATCAAGAGAATCAACAAGTGGATGAAGACACTTGGCATGATCTTGCATTAGGTACTCAGTAAGGCTTCACATTAGCAGTACTTGGAACCTTGTTATTGAGAGCATTTTTCTCTCAGGATTTGAAATTAGATGCCTCAGTCTTTTTTCTGTGTTTGTGTCTGTCAGTCTGCATGTTAAACTCTTTCTCTTTTTTCTGTGTGCATGTGAAAATGTTAAAAACAGAGTAACATTAATTTTATGCACAAATGTTCACGTAAACTTGATTCAAGTTAACAAGGCTGCTTATACCTGTTTGATGGTTAGCGATAACCCCATTTCTGAAAAACAAAGTTAGTAATTGTATCATGTTCAAGTAGATGAAAAGATAAATCAACAATTAAGTACGTCTATTTTTATATTGTTGTATTGTCTGCCTAAGGATATCTTAGTCATTGACTGAGTTTGTGTAGCCATATTGCTTTAAATTGAGTTTAAGGTTATATTTACATTTACACTGTTGCTCTTAGTCTTTGGAATGCTCAAGTATGGTGTGGTGTGTTACAAGGTTACTGTGAAACAATTGGAATTTGAAAATATGAAATTTATGGTCCCAAGTTGATGTGTGTTCAATGTAACACCAAAATGTGGCATACATTTTACTTTATGCTTCTTCTTTCTCCTTTTTTTGTTTTTTTTTTTTTTTTAGTGTAGTGAAAGTTAAATGAGGCTCAAGATATTTTTAATTGGGCCTTTTTAGGTATATTTAGATCGGTTTAAAGTGGTGTTAAAGTTAGATTTTTTTAAGGTTTTATTTAGTATGGTTGTTGTTTTAAGTTTTTAGTTTGCGCTTTTATAAATTTTGGAATTGAAAACCAAAATTAAGAATCAAAAATTAAAAAATTATTTAAAACAAATTTTAACACTGGGAACAAAAAAATGTTTGTGTTTAATAGTACTAAATTTATTTTAGTTCTTATTTTCCTGATAATCTTAATATTATGTTGTAAAACACATGAAAATATGTGAGTTTTTTATTTAGAATTACAAAATTTATAAAAACTAGAACAAAAAACCTACAATCACAAACATACAAAACTAAGTCTAAGCATTTAAATAGTGTCAATTATGATTAAAGAAAGGGGTTTTCAATGGGAATTAATTTAAGCCTACGTTGTAATGCAGTATTCCTAGCATGGAAAACAATTCTTTTTGGTGAGCAGACAATGCTAATATTTAATAAGCAATAGGCAAACTTCTTTATTATATGTATCGAGCTATAAGCAACATCTTATTACAACCTCTTATTATGTAGTAGA